TCGACCGCCTTAGGGCACTGAGACGTAGGGCTGTTACTTCCTCCGAGAAGGGCCTGAACTCGTAAAACTTGTGTGTACAACTACTCCATAGCTAGGATATTGCCTCCTCATACCTACCCCCCATTCTAGTGTCAGTCTTAGATCCACGACATTCCCCACAATGCACCTGGACCTGACAGCTACCCGACACACTTCTTCCAGCGACACTGGGTCTATGTGGGGAGGAGGTTACGACAATGATCCTTCCTATCTTGAATGGTGAGATAGAGCATAAACCAAACCATGTTGGCTCTAGTTCCTACAGTGAATGACCCCACTCTGCTTTCGCAATTCAGGCCTATAAATATCTAAAATGTTTTATGTAAGACTGCTTTGAAGATTATCTCTAATTTCCTCAAAGTAATTCTTCCTGGTATCCTTTTGAGGAGTAGTCTGCTTTCGTTACAGGGCGGCTTATCACTCATAATATTATCTCGGCTTACGAGTGTCTCCATTTTATGAAGAGAATAAAGCTAAGGAAAACAGATTTTGTGCTATCAAGCTGGACATGATGAAGATGTACGACCGGGTTGAGTGGGATTACTTACAAGCTATTATGACTAAGTTGGGGTTTGCACCAGCTTGGGTTTCTTTGGTAATGAGTTTGGTGAGTTTTGTTACATTTGTTTTTCTATCAATGGAAATAAACTTGAGGAATTCAAGCCTTCTCGAGGAATTCATCAGGGGGACCCAATTTCCCCATACTTGTCTTTGTTGGCAACAAAAGGCCTATCATGCCTTTGAAAAGTAAAAGTCAGTCATAGTACCTCAGTGGTATCCAAGTTGCGCAAATGGCCCCGCTGGTTAGCCACTTACTTTTTGTGGATGACAACCTCCTATTTGTTAAAGAAAGTAGAGATGGAGAGGATGATCTGTCATCTTTGTTGAACAGTTATTGCCAAGGCTCGGGTTAGAGAATAAATTTACCAAAGTCCTCTGCTTTCTTCAGTAAAGGGTGCCCGGAGTCTGTTAGAAATGAAGTCAAATTTGCTTGAGTTATTCCTAATGAGTCTTTACTTGAGAAATATCTGGCTATGCCTTCTGATGTTGGAAACTGTAAACGTGGAAATTTTAAATATCTGAAGGACCGAGTTTGGAATAAGGTGCAAGGATGGATGGAGGAGGTCCTTTGGGGGGGGTCAATTCCCTCATAAAGAAGTTCTGGTTGGCAGCAAAAATGGTGAAAGGAAGAACAACTTGGGTTTCTTGGGAAGAGATGACAAACCCAAAGTAACTTGGTGGTTTGGGATTTAAGGATTTCGAGCTATTTATCTCGCTCTTCTTGCATGTTATGCATGGCACATTTTATAGGATCTAGACTCACTTAGCGCTCATATTCTTCAGGTCAGGTACTTCCCTACCTCAAATTTTCTTGAAGCCCAACTAGGTAATTCTCCATCACAGGTATGGCGAGCAATCATTGAACGATAGGATGTTCTGGTACAAGCTCTCATCCGCGGAATTGATGATGGGAAAATTACTGATATATGGCATCATAATTGGCTTTCGAGAGATTTTAATATGAGGCCAGTTACCAGCATCTCATACAACCCACCTCAATGGGTTAGCAAGCTCATCCTTCCCAGTGAGGCTTCATGGAACCGGGATAAAATTATGGAAACTTTCATAACCATTTATGCAGAGGGAATTCTATCCATTATGTTGTGTACCCGGTAGATGGATGGTTTTTGGTCCTCGAACTTTGATAAGAAGGGAATTTTTATAGTCCGTTAATGCTTGTTGAAACTAAAAATAGACGGGAAGCATGGTTGAAGCAAAGGACGGACACGTCAAATTATGTTGCGGAACAAAGAAGCTAGTGCTTGTTGTGGAAGGTACAATTTCCCTCAAAATTGAAAATATTTTTATGACGCTTGACCCAGCAGTCCCTTCTGGCAGCCGATCTTCTTCATCATCGCAATATGTCACCTGGGAGTCAATGCGGTCTTTGTGGTTCAGTTGACCCTTGGAGATATCTACTTTTGGACCGTACGATGTCGAGATGTGTAGGAGGCAATCAACTGAACCCGATGCCCAGAGATGGATCTTCTCATTGATTTTTTAAGGGGTGGATCTTCTCATTGATGGAATCAATCCCGCATGATGATTTTATTTCTATTCTGGGAAAACTATGGGCCATTTGGCATGCTAGGAGGAAGGCCTTACACGAGAATGATTTCCAAAACCCACAGGGAACACACTTTTTTGTTCAGATATACTTATCTGCTCTTGAAGTTTGTAAAACTAAGCATTAACCACGACAACAGCCTGCTAACACTCATGTCCATCATCCTTGATGGATTCCTCCTGCCCATAGGATAGCCAAGATTCGTGTTGATGGCGTTGTGTCTAGATCATCAAGCAGGGGCTCCATTAGTGCGGTGTGCAGGAACTCGGTGGGTGATTACCTTGGACCCTCGGCGATGGTGTGCCCAGGAATTGTTGATTCAATCGTCCTTGAAGCCATGGCTTGTCGAGAAGCGCTATCACTTGCATCTGATCTTTATCTGGACCAACTAGAGATAGCCTCCGATTGCAAAGAACTAGTGAACAACCTCTTTTCTGTCAATGGAGGGCTTCATGGCAATATTGTCCGGGAAATCAGAAGAACCGCGACATCTTTCCAAAAGTCCTCCGTCATCTCTGAAGGGAGAATCTCGAACCTCGAGGCGCATAGCATCGCTAAACATTCTCTTAGTCTTACACTTGGACGCCATCTTGGCTCCTTTAGCCCCCCGATTTAATGCTGGCCATAGCGGGGGCAACATAACCGGTATCATACAATTGGGACTAGCAAACATGCTTATGTGACAGACAATTAAAAAAAAGAGAATAGAATAACATAGGTATATACTGTATCATAATAAATGTTACGCTACTATGTGTCATGCATGACAATAAATAAGATGATATATGATACTACTCTAAATTTATGATACTATGCACTATGAAGATATTATCATATATATTAGTATCATATGCATGATACTAGTAGTATATAATACTCCCCACCATAAATAGCCTAAATCTCATCCCCATGAATAACGAGCAATAAAGTGGAGTGTATTTAGCAAAAAAGAAGATATAGTTTAACTCTTAGATCCGCCACCGCTAGCTGGTGCACGCCGCGTATGGCACCGGCAACAGTGAAGCGGGCGGGAGACGGTGCACGGCGGGGGCGGGCCTTGTGGGACGCGCGGGCGCGGCGAAAGGGAGACCCGGCGAATGGCGACGTGACAACGGAACAAGGAAGAAAGAAAGAATGTAACGCCGACGGATGAGCCGCGTCAGTTGGTTTGTCGCATGCCCGCATCTCGCGTCGTGCCTAACTGAGCCTGGTGGGGGTCGGGGTGGTGCCAGATCCGGATCGGCGTAACGTACCACAGCAGGGTTTTTTTTTTACATCAGTACAGACACAAGCGCTCATATACACGTGCATACACTCATCTCTATGAACGCACACACACACCCTATCCCTATGAGCATCTCCGAAAGACTGAGCCGGCATATCATCTTGAGATTTACGAAGTCATCATAGGCGCTTCATCGTCGACGGGAACGTCTCCTCCCACTGAGGGCGCATCGCCGGAAATTCTGAAATAAATCCAGGAGTAATACGAGCATCAGGATTTGAACTCTGGTGGGTTGGGGATACCACTGTCCACCTAACCAACTCAACCACAGGTTGATTCGCAGCAGGGTTTGTTTTTTTGAGGATCACGTACCACAGGTGGTTTTCTTTTAATACCAGTACAAACACAAACGCTTACATACATGTGCATACATTCATCTCTATGAACGCACACACGCGCATCCTATTCCTATGAACATCTCCGAAAGACTGAGCCGGCATATTATCTTGAAATTTATGAAGTCACCGTAGGCACCTCGTCGTTGACGGAAACGTCTCCTCCCAGTGAATGCGCATCGCCGAAAATCCTGAAATAAACCCAGGAATAAATGTGAGCATCTGAATTTGAACCTTAATGGGCTGGAGATACTACGGTCCCTCTAACCATCCAACCACAAATTGATTCGCCGTACCACAGGCGGTGTGTACTCAGCAGATTATATAGCCACCTGCGCCCGGCCTCAACAGGTCCATCGGCTATACTAGTAACTGCCAGTACATTTTTTCAGTGGCTAAATCATCAGTCATTTTGTACTGTATACTAATAAGCAACCATAAAATTTACGTTATTAAGAAGATTACGTTATCATGCTCGAGGAGATCCCTAGTTTCTTGGTAACCAGCCTCCTTGCTGATTGCCCGAGGGACATTTTTGTTGAATAAAAGCTCTCTGATTTGCCTGCGAAAAAAAGAAGATTACATTATGACATTGATGCTCGCATTATTTTTGGATTTATTTTAGCCTTCCGGTGATGTTCGTTCAGTGGAAGAAGTCGTTCTCGTCGACTACGAAATGCTCGTATTATTTGTGGATTTATTTCAGCCTTTCAGTGATGTTCGTTCAGTAAGAGAAGATGCTACTACATTATGCTCGTCTATGTGAGCGTATTCATTTGTACTGTGTTAGAAAAGATCACGTTATTTTACAGTACTATAAACCTTCCTATTCTAACATTGTCTATGAATGCCCAACAATTATTTCCGTCGTTCACAAGTCGTACGGCAACTATTTCCTCTGAACAAAATGTATGTGCTTTACCCCTCAAAGTTGCACCAACCACAGGAACGAACGAACGATCTACACGAGAGGACACTGTTCTTCTTACAAGCGGCGCCTGCACTTGCACAGTCGCAGTGTTGCATGGCTGATGATGGCAGCCGCTGCCACAATTACACGGGCATTCCCGGTCGAATTTTGGCGCAGGTGCACAAACCACTAATCACAGGCCAAGATCGCCGCTGGCTGCTCCCATGTCCATGTGCCACCTGCATGCCACCGCCGACATTGATATCCACACAAAACGCAGCAGCAATTCACGTCGCCCACCGCCTAGTAGGGCCGCAGGCCCGGCTCCTCCGCCTTGGCCGCCGCGGTGGTCACCGCGACACCGACGGGCATCCTGGCCCGGTGCTCGGTGCGGCCGAGCTGGCCGGGGCCTCCGCGCCCGCCGCCACCGACGCCGGCTGCGGCGGCCGCCGCCGCACTGCGCATCCGGCCCTTGCCCAGGTGGTGCTCGCAGAGGGAGTAGCCGACCAGCGTCGGCTGGCTGCAGCGCCATCCGCGCCCGTTCACGCGGCTGCACCGCGACCCCTCCATCAGCACCGCCGGGCCGCGCCGCTTCTTGGCCCCGCCAGCCGCGCCGCCGCTGCCATTCTTCTCCTCCTTGACGTCCGACAACGCCGCCACGCCATTCGCGACCGGATCTTCCACCTTCACCGCCCGCTCGCCGGCGCCCGTGCATGCCACGTCCGGCTTCCAGCCGGCGACGCCGCCATGGCCATTGCTGCTGCAGGTGCAAAAAAAAGCATCATCATTTCGCACAAAACAAACCCCGGACTAACAGCGCCGATCAAGACGTGACTGACGAAACGGGTAGTAGGTGGCAACAAGCCATGATGGCCATGCGCACTAGAGGCCAAGGCCGCCGGATCGCACAACAAAACAAGGGCCAAACGAACAGGCTGTGATCGAGATCAGCGAACGAAACCAAACAAATCCACGACCGAGACGGCAACAAGACGAGGCGCCTATGTATGATTATGGGGCGGGCGGACGGACGGGAGAAGAGAAGATGCCCACAGGGCCGTCTTGTCCGACAGGCAGGTGCAGTGCGTGCACTAAAATAATAGTTGGATCCGGCCATGCCTAGACTCCTCATGGGTCAAGCTGGCATGGCCACTATCAAACAGTGGAGGGAAAGATACTAACAGAAGGAAAAACAACCCATTTCCTAGTCAAAATTCACAAAGCTGTGATCTTTCTCTCCCATGTAGGAGTGTATGTCTTGCCGCACTTGTTTAATCGAAGAATCCATACCTGCTGTGAGCGCCGTCAGCTCCATGCTCCGCCGCCGCGCCCTGGCCCTCGACTGCATTGTCCTGAAACCCAACCGGCAAAAGCAACAGAAAACATTCAGATGTGACTAAAGAGAACGTCCAGATCTAGGCACCTGCGCCGTGGGTGCAACTGCAAGATCGAACAAGCCGAATCAAGAAAGAGCCACGGCGCACCTGCGGCAATGCCAGGCGCCTGGCGGCGGCGGGCTTGCGGCCGAGATCCGCATTGGCATGCGGATGCGGCGGCCTGGCCCGCCCCTCCTCCTCCTCCTCGTCGCCCCCGCGTCCCTGGCCGCGCTCCTCCGCATTCCGCGGGGTCTGGTGCGTGGATGTGGACGGATCTGAGCGGTACTGCTGCTGGTGGTGCAGCAGGGCGGCGGTGTAGGGGGAGGGCTGCTGCGGCCTCCTCCTGATCCTCATGGACGGGCGAGGAGATGGGGACGGAGGGAGGGAGGAGGCAGCGACGGAGGAGGAGGAGGAGATTTGGGGAGGGTGCAAATTAAAGAAGGGAGGCTTTTGGGGTGCTGGCTTGCTTTTTATGCCTCATCATCGTCGTGCCCGCATTTATTTATGGGAGGGAGGCCAGTAAATATACGGGAGTAGAATAGTGGTAGACGGTGCAGTTTTCAGCACTGCCTGCTGTCTGGCTTTGGCTCGGCATGCAGCACGTGCCGCCGGTGGCTTCCGGGGCGACGCCGGCCGTCGGATCGGGGGGACGGGCGGCGGGGATCGGGGGATCGGCGGGCATGGACCGATCTGGTCTTGATCGCCCCGCGGTGGATGGATCGGTGGCATGAGATGAGAGCTCGGGAGGGGCGAGGGGAGTGGGTGGTGCAACTGGCTTTGCCAATTGCGCAGGTTGGATGGCCCATGTGGGGGTCTTTGGACCCGTTCGGACGAATTTAAGCTGCCCATATATGCCTAAAATGTTCGTAGTGTAGTTTGTCGGTTAGACGGAAATGTTGTGTGATCAAATATTTTTCTTGAACACAGGACAATCAAAGACGCGCACATATACTCACTCTGCAATGTATGCACATCATATCTCTATGAGCACCTTCAATATACTAAGCCGGCATAACATCTTCAGGTTGACGAAGACCGGTCAACGGGAATGTCTCTTTCCAGAAAAATGCGCACAACAGTGTCAGGTCGAGGACTTGAACCGTGGTGGGCAGATTCCACCACACGGAACTTAACCATCTTAGTTCGCGTGATCTAATATTATGAAGAAATCACAGAGGCTTACCTATTTAACTGGCCTTGGAATGCAATACCGTCATTTTTCAATCAGCTTTTCAAATATGTGTATGGACAAATGACATGTTCAATTAAAACACGGAAGTTCACAAAACAATTGACTCCTGCAAAATAACCCCATGTGCTAACCATAAAAACCAGGATGGACAGAAGACAGGGGAATGATCAAATATTATAATGACAACGCAGAGTTTTATTAATTTGGTTAGCCTCGGAATTCAACTGTATCTCTTTTCAATCGGGCTCCCGAGTCTCAAATATGTGTAAGGGCAAAGGAAGCGTTCATGGCATGCGTGGAAATTTCACACAAAAACGGTTCAACTACCCAGAAAAAACTCCACGTACTAAACATAGGTAACCGAAACGGGGAGGAGAACAGTGTTTGTTTGCCACAAGCAAGATCAACACACCTAGACTTCGATCATTCCTCTCGGGCATGGTTGGGAGCAATGTCAAATGGGGTAACAATTCGTCTGGCTACCGCAACTCATTAGACTAGGACGGGGGAGGGATGCCAATGACCTAGGATTAGAGAACTACATTCGGGGCGTGCAAGGAGATGGCACATGGAGACGACGTTGATGGGAGCACTTAAGCAAGCATCTTTATTATTTTCCATGACAAGCACACGGAGCGGGTGGCGCTGAGTGGTCAACACAAAGGAGCGATGAGGGTGCAAAGAAAACCTAAGGACCCTAGAGTTTGAAAGACATACTTTCAAGGCAAAGAAGGCATAGCTGTAAGTTGAGTTCATGAATGATTCAACATGTGTGGTTAGAGATGGCATTCATTACGGTGCATGTGATGAAATCCAATTTTGGTGAGATAAAATTAGCTACTTTAGCCATTCATTTATTTGCATTTTTCATAACCAACAATAATGAAAAATTGTCACAAAAATTGTGTGTGCATACATAAAGTACTCCAACATTTCAGCACGCGATTTTGTTCCATTTTTCAAAATTCATAGATCATTTGTTAATATTCCAAAAGCCAGGTGCATATGACATGAGTTCCAGGACTATATCATTATTCTCATAAGTAAATGACCACACACATGGAGCTTACTCAGAAGGCGCGAACACTAGTCCCTATTTAGAAATAGTATCGGCCTAGCGACAAAGAGTCCTCCTCCTTCCATGTTGATGGGGATGATGGGGCTCTCGGTGATGTCTTTCGTGACTCGGCTAGTGGCTTTATAGCGGTAGCATGCAGAGACAAGCAACAGGGCCTCGACGTTCTTTTGGTGGAAGTTGAAGCGGTTCTGGTGGGTCTCCTGCTAGCAGAAGAATGGGCATCCACTACCTTGTGGTGGAGGATGACTCTTTGGAGATTGTTCAGGCTATCCAGAATCCGTTGGAGTATCGAGCTTTAGGTGTGGTGGTGACCAATAACTGTCAAAACTTGATGAGTAGCTTCGTCAAGGTGACTATATTGGACTGTGGGGTGATAAGAGAATGAGGTGTCACATGAACTTGCTCGCTTTCATTTCATTGAGAGATCTAAGAAGTCTTGAGGGATCATCACCCTAATTTTGTGGTTTCATTTCTTGTAAGGAACAAGTTAATTGTTTAAATGAAGTCACCAAACTAAAAACAAAACAAATGACACCTACTTTTGTTTCGTTGACAACAAACTTTTGTTAAAAAAGGCCAAAATTAGTATGGTAGGATTAGACAACAACCAAGAGAAGAGAGAGAGAGAATAGGTTGTCTTCTCTTCTTAAAGAAAATTATTTCTTCACGCCTAACATATAGTATATTAATAGAGATATTAGTTAGTTGGAAGGTAGCAAGAGATGACCCTTTTAAAAGTGTCACCTTTTGTACCGGAGATGAGCATTTAGTTGGGTTGAAGGAGAGAGAAAAAGAAACAAACACCAAAAAAGATACTGAGTAGGTATATTTCCACTGTAAAATATATCTTTCACTTGTCACATAGTTCTCATTACTTTTAGTCACCATATATCTATACTAATGTGAACATTGACCCGCAAAATAACAATATTAATGTGAACGTTCATTAGGTACAAAAGGTAACTTATCATATTTTATTTTATTTCTAGGTTGCCGAAGGTAACTAATTGCAAAGAAAATTTACTAAGTATTTTCTTCTCCTGACAAAGTAGTAGTATTAGAGGTACCTTTGGAGATCCCTCAAAAGAAGATGCCCCCTCAAACCATCCGTATTCATGCGGACCAGGCTGTCCGGACGTGTTTTGCCATCCAACGCGGTATCCTATCAGCCTGCGTAGTGGTCCAGACGTCTTTTTCCCGTAAATTGGAAGCAGGCCGGGGGCATTGCAGGTGTCCGTATTGTTGCCACTCCCGCATCCAACACTCCGGACCCACACAAAACCCTTTCCTTCGTCTGCACCCTTTCCGGCCCGAAGCGGTCAGCGGCATATTCATGTCGGCCTATAGTGAATGTGACCTCTTTCTGGAGCCGACATGAAGCAGCGACAGCCGAGAGCGCTGCCCACTGCATGTGTCTTCTCTCCGCATGCAAACGACATTCATCCATCTGCTTCCCTCCATTAATCCAATGTGTTTGCCGAGGAACCAACTCCGACGCCCGCATGCGAGCACCACACACGTCTTTCTGTCTGCCGACTAGCATTAAACACTCCATCGTTTGGCGCATGGCATCCACCTGCTATTTAAACATGACCAAGCGCATGTAAACAACCGCATCAAACCTCCGCTCCTAATCCCGATCTCCTCCATGCACCACACCAACCATGGCCTCAAGATCCACAACCCTATGGGACGACCTCTTGAGCGAACAAAAGAAGGAGCTCTCCGGCTTTCCGGTCGCTTGGTAGGACCGCGGAGCTAGCCGGATACATGTTGGCTTGCCAACGCGCTCTCCGGAGGTCTATGATGTGGACGAGGCGGCGCCACCGCCCTCGCCGGTCCAGGACTGAAAGTGCAACTAATCCCTAGGTGGTTTTGGTAATTCTTAACAACATATAGCTCATTGAACTAATATCCATTCAAGATTAATGTTTCAGAAAGTTCAACGATTAGTATGGCATGGACTAGAGATGTGGACCCCTCAAAATGCTAAGGACACAACTGGCAAAAGCTCAAGACTCTATATTTTCATTTTAGTGATCCAAGATCACATTGAGTCCATAGGAAAAGCCAATACTATTAAAAGGGGATGAGGTGTTGCTTAATGGCTTGCTTGCTCAAAATGCTTAGTGATATGCTCCAAAAGCCCTCAACCACTTTCTCATTTCCACATATGTCCTATACCTAAAGTCAAACTTGGCCCCACCGATTTGATCTATCCGGCGCCACCAAGTTCACTTGGCATAGACATAGCCAGAAACCCTAATCAGTTTGGTCTTACCGATAGGGATCTCGGTCTCACCGAGATGGGGTTGCAAACTCTCGGTTTCCCTTTGTAAAATTTTGGTATAACCGAGATGAGCGATCGGTCCCACCGAGTTGGCATTGCAAACTCTCTGTTTCCTTTTCATAACATTTCAGTCTCATCGAAATGAGCGATCGGTCCCACCGAGTTTGCCTGGCCAAGTCTCTGTTTGCTCATTACTTAAATCAGTCTCACCGAGTTCATGTGATCGGTCTCATCGAGATGAGGTTTCGCCCTAGCCCTAGCGCATCGATATCACCGAGTTGATCATGTCGGTCCCACTGAAAAAGCCTAATGTTCACATTTGAACCAAGTTGGTCTCACCGAGTTTGACTATTCGGTCCCACCGAGTTTGGTAAATTGTGTGTAACGGTTAGATTTTGTGTGGAGGCTATATATACCCCTCCACCCCCTCTCCATTGGAGAGAGAGCCATCAGAACATGCCTACACTTCCAGCATTCATTTCCTGAGAGAGAACCACCTACTCAGTGTTGAGACCAAGACATTCCAATCCAACCACAAGAATCTTGATCTCTAGCCTTCCTCGAGCTGCTTCCCACTCAAATCATCTTTCCACCATATCCAAATATGTGAGAGAGAGTTGAGTGTTGGGGAGACTATCATTTGAAGCACAAAAGCAAGGAGTTCATCATCAACACACCATCTATTACCTTTTGGAGAGTGGTGTCTCCTAGATAGGTTAGGTGTCACTTGGGAGCCTCCGTCAAGATTGTGGAGTTGAACCAATGAGTTTGTAAGGGAAGGAGATCGCATACTT